GAGGAGGAGGAGCAGTTGGAAGAGGGGGAGGAGCAGCTAGAAGAGGAGGAGCAGCTGGAGGAGGGGGAGCAGCTGGAGGAGCTGGAGGAGGAAGGAAAGCAGCTGGAGGGTGGGGAGTTGCCGGAGGAGCATCTTGGCCCATGGCACCCGGGTGAGCCCAGGGCGGGAGCTGACGTGACGGGAGGCTGATTTGGGGTGGGGGCCGTAAGGTGGGAAGCAGTACAGCAGAGATGCCGTCCCCAGGGAAACGTGAGGACCACACAGAGGGAGTGTGGGCTCGCTGCCCCGGGTGAAGTCTCCCCGCGGCTGCCTGAGAGCGTCTTTGGGAGAGGACGGCGACCCTGTGCCTGTGGCGCGGTGATCCTGACCGCCACGGGATGTACAAACAAACGCGAGGAAGGGAGAGATTTAGGAAGAGTCAGACCTTTGGTTTATGGAAATGGTGCAAGGGTCCCAAGTGACTATTTCATTCAGACTATTTGCTCAATCAGTAAATAACCACGTACTGTTCCATTCTTTGGGGTGTTATTTTCCATATATTTCTGGAAACGTCTGACATTGGTCTGTACTTTCGGGGGCTACTTGCCTCCAGAGCGGGTTCATTTTGTGCAGAATTTCGGCAACACGGGACCTCAAGACCCATTGGCCATGTCCTCCATTGCAACCACAACGTAGTAAGTGAAGCTTACGGTTACCTTATCTATATAGGTATTTATTTCTTTTAAATCCGAACTTGGTCTGAAGGATTTCTTCAAGCAGTCTTATTACTAATTTTATAGCGCTCCCCAGAACGAGGGCCACGAACTGGAAGTTCGAGATTTTTCTCTAGCGAAATGAATCTTCTCATTCCCCCTCGAACCGAGCAAGTCTGTGTGTGTGGTTCAGGTGTGGGTTTTAGATGATCAGTAACTCTTTCCTGAGAGACTCTTTTCAGCGTCTTAAAATTCTGTCCATAGCCGTCTTCAGTGAATAGCAAATGTGGTCAAGCGATCTTCGTGGAAGCTCGTCAGGATGAAATCTCTAGAACGCTCCTGAGGAGGACGTCTGAGCCAGCACTGAAGGTCAGTGCCTTCAGCAGAAGGTCCCGTGTGGGGCTCTGACCTGCTGTGTTGCCTTGGAGCAAACAGCGAGCCTCTCTGTGCCTCGGTCTCTTCTCTGAACAGGTTGACCCATTCCTGTTTACTTTAAGGCAGGAGCTCTTACTCTGGCCTCCGTGAACTTGGGCCGGGAACATGCATGCTCGTTGTTGTCACGAATCGGTGCCTACCAGCCCCCTCCCCGTTCTTTTCCTTACGAGACAGACATAATGATGTCGCGGCAGGAGTCAACCCTGCCCCAGCCCCTGTTGGCAACTTTTTAAAGGTTTCACTTTCGTTCCCGTCAGCGGCCACGGTGTTATATTCGTCTCAGGTGTGCGACGTCGTGACCCAGCACTCGGTGTCCACCCGGCGCTCCTGGCCAGCGCATCCTTAGTCCCCGTCGCTTGCCTCCCCCTCCCCCCGCCCACCTCTCCTCTGGTGACCGTCAGTGTGTGCTCTGTAGTGAAGAGTCTGTGTCCTGGTTTGTCTGCCTCTCTTTTGTCTCCCTGCTCATTTGCTTTGTTCCTCCAATTCCAAATATGAGGGAAATCCTGTGGCATTGGTCCTTCTCTGACTCCTTTCGCTCAGCCTTATCCTGTCTAGCTGCCTTTTTGCCAACCGAAACCACAGATATTTTCATATCTGCTATAGTCGTCGCAGATATGGCAGATCGTCATTTCGGCCCGTCGCTACTTAATTTTTTTTTAACGTTTGCTTATTTATTTTGAGAGAGAGAGAGAGAGAGAGCATGAGCAGCGGAGGGACAGAAAGAGAGGGGAAGAGCGAGAATCCTAAGCAGGCTTCTTCCCTGTCAGCTCAGAGTGCAACTCGAGGCTCAGATCCACAAACTGAGATTGTGCCCTCAGCCAAAATCAAGAGTTGGACTTGAAAAAAATGTTTTAAATGTTTATGTACTTATTTTGAGAGAAAGAGAGAGCATGAGCAAGGGAGGGGCAGAGAGAGAGAGAGAGAGACAGAATCCCAAGCAGGCTCCGCGCCATCAGCACAGAGCGTGATGCGGGGCTCAAACCCACAAACCATGAGCCCATGGCCCGAGCCAAAATCAAGAGTTGGAGGCCTAACCCACTGAGCCACCCAGGTGCCTTTGAGAGACGGACACTTAGCTGACTGAACCACCCGCGCGCCCTCGACCATCACTACTGTAAAATCATTGATTCAACCTGTGACTACGTCGTCTTATCTAACACGTTAGTACAGAAACACATCACAGTTAAAATATATTTTGTAAGTATTTTCATCCAATTGTGTTTCTTGTCACCTTGCACATTTTATTTTGTGCATGGATCTATCTATCTATCTATACACACACACACACGTATCCGTCTAAGAAGGGCGTTGCCAAAGGCTTCCCAAGGCTGCCAGAAAGCTCCATGCCATGCGAAGAGGTTAGGAAGCCCTGCTTTAGAGAGACGTTGAGGCGAAACGAACGTTTACCAAAGGGCCAGCAGAACAGTGTCATTACCATGGGGAACAATCAATGAAGTAGCTCCGAGGAGAGGAGGCTGACCTTGGGGCATCACCTCAATTATTAGTATTCAGGGCAGACAGTCCCTCAGGATGGTTTTGGGGCCACACCACCTGGCCGAGCCTGGCCTCCGTGACCCCGCAAGTGGATGTCAACGCCCCCGGCCCCGAGCTCAGCCCCGCATGTTGGGGCCACGTGCTCTGCCCCTCCTGGACACATATTTCCCCGTCCCGATCTCCAGGGGAGATGTCACCGTGGACAAGCGCACGTCCGAGCAGCAGCTGGGCTGACGCTGGGGCCCTGTTCCCCGTGCAGCAAATTTCCGTCCCGATGCTCCATGCACAGGGCTTCTGGGGGCCCTCGAGGCACCGAGCCCAGAAGCCCCGTCCTCCCGCCGTCATGCTCTCACGTCAGCACCCGCGGGACCGCGGGGACTGTCCTGTCCAACCAGTCCATCTCGGGGGCCTCCTTCACCGTGTTGGAGGGGGGCCCCCCGCCGGAGGCGGGCCGGTGCTGCAGTCAGGACACCGGGGCCTTTGAACCCGGTCACCCGTGTTTCTCCAGACCCCGGCTTCCTCATCTGCACGGTGGAGACGAGATTGTATTTCCACACGCAGCGGTGGGAAGGTGATGTGAAACGGTACCCGTGGAAGGGACTAAAGGCACGCTCAGGTGCGTCGCCGGCACAGCTGTTACTGGAGCCGTGGAGGGCTCCCGAGGGCCCCGACGACTGGGCGGCTCACCCTGTGGCTTGGGCACCACGCCAGGGACGTCTGCCGGGCGGGCTCCGCGCTGCTCCAGGGTCTCCTGTCCTTGCACCGAAGACGGGGAGTTTCCCAAACAGGAGAGGACCGTTTGGACTCCTCACCCAGGGGGGGTGCCCAGTCGGGAGGGCAGGCGCTGTTCTCGGCTCTGATGGCACCGCTGGGGAC